GGTTGTATCGGTCCGGAAAAATCGCCGGTGGTAAACTATTCCACAGAGAGGTCGTACGCGGAAGAAAACTCCTACTGAAACGTACAATGGTGGACCGCTAAGCATCCAGATGGTGTGGATGGTATCGGTAGGTTTGCCGCGTAGTGCGTCCATGAAATTTGGCGGCTGGGATTAATCCGAACAATTCCTCAGAGCACCCCCGTGATAGATGCGATAAAATACGCAAAGAGATGCAGCATCTCTTCGCAGCGTCAGTGAATCGAGCCGATCGGAAAGCACTCGGTCGTCGACGATTCGAGCCGCTCTGCGCTGGGTGTGGTCAAGTGGAAGGAGCTAGCACTGGGGAGCCCCAGCCCGGAGATGGGAACAATATTCCATGTACGGCCGAACCTGCGCCTTGTAAAGTTGCAGGGGGTGTGCCGGCATGAAATACTGTCTCGCTATGCTGAGCACGTAAAGCTTTTTAGAGGCTTATTTGGCCTTCTCTTCCAAGTGACCACGAAATTGCACATCACATGATATGTCGATGCCGAGGATTCCGATACTGGCTGAGGCAACAAGGGTTCTTTTTGGCGGTTAACGCGCAAACTTGTGTCTTCTGTGTGTTAAACTGGACTAGATTTTGTCGCCCCCAATCCGAGACTGCGTTTAGCAAAACACACACACTTTATTTAATTTATGTTGAGAACTAAAGCGAGTACCGAGAGACTGGTGCAAAGCCATTATAATCCCAATATTAAGGGAAAAGTTCCACAAAAACTACAATGGCATACTAAGGTGTTGATTGAAAGATTTATGAAAGAAGTTCGAGGATTACCGTTTCCTTCCCCTCTCTTCCGACCTCAGATAATTCTATATTATCTCAATACAAATTTTCTTCTTACAACTCCAGGATCTTCTCGTCAGTCTCCACGGTACGTGCGTTAAATATTGTCAGGTCGAGTTATCTTAGGTGACAACTGAACCTCCCCGGAGATTTTAGCACCCCTGCCCCGCCGTTCCCATGGCCCTCGGGGACTGAGGGTCATTTCTTTAGGTCGTTGCACATGGGGAATGTTTGAAGTAATTGCCACGTACTTATTGGCGGAGTAAGAATGTCCACTACCCGTTACGAGATGATGATTGATGCTGCAAAATTTGTGATGTGCAAGCTGGATTTAGAAAGGGGATAAAATAAAATAAAGCTTTTGTGCGTTCATGGACTTGGAAAAGAGAAAAAACTACCTTTAAGGCTTGTGTAATGATAGTGTAGTCAGTGATATTCAATGGCAAACATTGGACTCATTTGGTTTCAGCACTGGGTAGATGCAGCGGATAAAATCTCTTTATAGGGACTCTAGTGCTTGTGTCAGAATCAACAGGGCCTACTCGGACTGTTTTGGCATCCATAGATGTGTCAGACAGGGTTCTGTAGCTTCCACGTAGCTGTTCAACCTATTTATGGACTGTTGTTTGGATAATCTAAAAGATTGAGAATGTGGTTAAGAAAGGTGTGTGATCAAATGCCTTTAAATGATTAAGTCATGTTTGCATTTTTTTTTATTGTAAATATTTGATGGTCGGATTGCAGATCATGGTTGCATTAATGAAAAAGGTCATAAAAAGGGGAATAAAAGTGAGCACAAGTAAGACGAAAGAGAGGTTTTTAAAAGAGAAAAAAGTAAAAACTAAAATATATGTAAAGTAGGAGTTTGTGTATTTGAGGTGTGTTTTTAACAGGGGTGCTAGATATGTAAAGTAAGAGTTTGCGTATTTGAGGTGTGTTTTAACAGGGATGCTAGATATGTAAAGTAAGAGTTTGTATATTTGAGGTGTGTTTTTAATAGTGATGCTAGATATGACAAGGATATAGAGGGACGAGTAAACTTAGGATACAGAGTAAATGTGGCTCTTCACTCTATGGCGAGAAGTCTGAATGTATCAATAAACATATATAATAAACCTAAAGTAATATACTCGTATGGGGTAGTGGATATTATTACTCCATCACTATATGGCAGTATAATATAAAATTACTTTAGGCATAGCTCAAAGATTTGAACAAGATATTTAATGTATATATATAAATTTTATCGTGCGGTAAGATTTTTAATAATATAACATGCTTATTTCTCAAACCTCCAAATAATCTTAAATTCTGTTCAGCTAAAAAGGCAAGAAATATTTAAATCAAAAGAGTGTTAATAATTGAATGACAATATAAAAAAAAACAAATTTGCTGACAAAATGGAAATTATTTAAAGTGAATTACAGTTATGTCAATATAGTTCACAACGTGCGTTTTATATTTGAAAGTAGTTTAAATTCACAGTATTCGTCTTATTTTTAAGTTGTCTAATGATGCCTAAATTCAAACGAAAAATTAAAAAATCTATCGCCTGTTTATAGGGGAGGTACAAAAAAGTAGCATTGTGTACGAGCCACGCAATGCGTTACAAAACTTACGTGCTCAAGGTCATTCCGCATTCGGTTAACTTCATTGACTGTCTTATCTCTGTTGTGACTTGCTTTTATTAATATAGTACTATTGTCTGTGGTTTTGATATAGTCAGATATGAATTGGATAAATCTAGAGTAGTTAGGAAATTGAAATGTAGGTGCAGTTGTAGCGTTGAACGTTTGAAACTGATAATGTAAAGCAAAGCGCCGTAGGACAGTTGTATAGCAGAGTTGAGAAATTACTTGTTTGCAATCTACGTAGGACTGCCTCGTTGGTCTATTGATTATAAAATACTGCTGTTCATGTGGTCGCGAGTTCGAATCCCGTGTTGGACTTAAATCAGTTACTGGGTCTGGAGGATATTATACTAGCAAATAAGGTGTATAAAATTAATAATAGCAAATATAGTGCTCTAACTCTTCAATAGATTTTTCTATATTATGGATAATTGTTGTTTACAACTTCATACTTTATACTTTTTTTATAATTAATCACACAATAACCATATTATTTAATTTTGGTATTATTGAATAATATTATAATACTTTTTAACCGTGACATATAATATTTTATATCGTTAAAATGACCACGAAGCTCTGGGACTAGTCACTCATATTTATCTCGTACCAACGAAAGTGGGAAATGCAATTTATGTAGGTTAGTGTGATGAAAAGTTTTTGTTTACTTTTTTGTAAAGTTTTATTATAATACAATTAGGTATAATCCGTGTAATGGTGGGATAATAATATCCACTATCCCATATTATTCCGTGGATATCGTAAGAGACGAAAGTGGGAACAAACTACGAAAATCGGGACATGCGGCAGCGACTTCGTAGTAACAAATAGAAAATACAAACTGCGATTGATAACCCACTCGCCGAGCGTGGCAACTATGACAAAATCCTATGAGGCAATCCTTGTGAAGGCCTCTATGTTCAGCGATGGACGTTGATGGGATGTAATGATGATGATGATAAAGACAAGGTGACGTTGTTTTATCACGGCATAGTATAATTAAGTACAGTTTATATATTATTATTTATTTTATGTTCATGTGGATGGATAGAAACAACTAACAATGTTAAATAAGTAAACAATTCTACCTATTTTAAATACTTATAAACTTATTTAGAGTGTGGTTCGTTAATTGTATATTATTTCGTTGTTTTCCAACAAGCTTACGTAATATTTCTCCATCAACTCGTAAACGAGTACCATAATGTCACAAATAGACCAATTTCAATAATGTCACAAAGTAGTATAGTTGTAGCACGAATGGGTTGGCTCGAACGGGGAAGAACCACGCTCTCAGAGAATACTAGCAAAATATGGCAGCTGAACGCCGCTGTGTTTCGTATGGTGGCTGTAGAGAACCGGAGACCCTTTTGACTGGAAACGAGGCAATCCATCTTAGTCCTCACGGGTGACAAAGCATTTTGATTCGTAATCCAGGATAGATGTAGGTGTCTATAGGCTACAGCAACCACTTACCAGGTGTACTGTGTGCTTGTTTGTCAGCCTCATACGATATAATATACTATATATATGATATAGATATAGATAGTGGTCCATAATAAAATAATATATATATATACATATATATATATATATATATATATATATATATATATATATATATATATATATATATGTAATTTATGGGTATTATCGCAAGAAACTCAATAAATATTTTATAAACCTATAATATTACATTTCTCCCCTCCCCTCCTTTTCCATCTTATGTTATCCAAAACCTAGGGACTATGGAAAATTAAACTGCACAGTGGCATAAATCATTATTATAATTGGACTACATATACTTACGTGTTTGCGTGCTAACGTTCACGCTCCGCACTATTTTAGTACCTTCTATAATTACAACGCATTCAAAGTTTTCGTAATCTCCGTACGACAACGGTGCAGTGTCCTAGAAAGATACTTTTATAAATCCAACTTCTTATTATATACAAAATTTACCCTAATGTTCAAATCTAATTTACACATGATTTGTACATGTATAGTTTCAACAACGCGTAACGGCACTTTAAACACGATCATTATGTGTAACTGCCAGTGAAGGTAAACAAACAAACCCCATTAGTAACCCAAGTCGTCCTGCTATAAATTACCTCAATTTCCTGTGAAGGCTCAATGAAGATTAGATTTCAAAATTGTAAAATGTGGTCATTAACCATCTGTAGTGCAAACGTCTTAGTCAGTATTACACCCTATTTTTAGAGACGGTAAAAGTGACCCAATATATATATATATATATATAAAATATATATATATATATAGATATATATATATATATATATATATATATATATGATATATATATATATGTATATTTTGGTCGTAAGAATATCATATTATAAATATAATGTGATTTTTTTTAAGAAGTTTCTACGAAGGGTAGTAAGTAATAAGAGAATGTATACTGATCAGCAGATTTTATTTACAATTAAGTATTAAGACAATCATCATATTGTACACATAAATATCACAAACATCAATCATCCGTCACGATCATAATATGTATTCTATAAGCTAGGTGTTTAATGATGGAGGAGACCATGATGTCCAAGTGCGATGGGAGCAACGGCGTAGTGCGAGATGGGAGCTGCGTGGACGATGGGGGCAGAGTGTACCACGGGGGCAGGGTGGTGGCCAGCAGTCTTGTGAACGACTGCGTTGAAACTGTAAAAGAATTAACGTTGCATATAAGCTACGACATGTAAATCGACAGAAGGGACTAGTTTTTACAATTACATAAAATAGTAAAGTAATGAAAATGTTTAGAGTAGTTAGTATCATTGCAGCCTAATGAAGTTGCCAGTAGACAAAGAATATCTGCATTATCGTTTATTATATTTTTCATTTAGCATTGTCTCATTACCTTCGTAGTTCATTAAGAAAAAATATTCGTAGAAAATATTTTAAATTCGTACGAATTAATGTTATAAAGTTATAGACAATTTATGTCCCACTGTTGGACACAAGTCTCTTCTCATTTCTGAGAGGGTTTCCTAAGACAAAGAATTGTACGCCGCGATGCTCCAATATGTGTTAGCGAACTTCAGGTCTTCCTCACGATGTTTTACTTCATCGCCGAGCACGTGGTAAATTAGCACTTTAAATTGCAATTAGCAATTTCATTTGTGTCGGCGGAGATCGAACCCAAGTTTCTCGTATAACGTGAAATCAAAGGCGAGCGCTTAGCCTCTAAGCTACCACCGCTCTACGTATTAAAAAGGAGTACGTATTAAAAAAGTATAATTACCCATGGTGGTCGTCAGCAGTGTAGTCTACTTTACGAACGGAACCGTCAGGCTCGACGAGGGAGTAGGAACCGTGAACGGCACCTCCATCTCGGCTTTCGTGTTGGCTCTTGTGGTCACCAGTGTGAGGGTCCGCCACGGAGTAGGAGAAGTCGTAACGGGGATGAGACTATAGAATAAAAAGAGGGTGTAAAGTGGCAATCACTAAAATTACTACCAATGTCTCCGTATAAAATATATACTGCTAACACTTACGTATTCGTGACCATGACTTAGAGCCAGTGGAGCAGCGTGCACTACGGGAGCAGCATGCACAATAGGAGCAGCGTGAATAATAGGACCGGCGTGGACTGCTGAGGCATGAACCAAAGGAGCAGCGTAATGAGCAGAAGCATAGTGGACCGGCGAGTCGTGACGAACAATACTTTGGGACGACACTGCGGAGTGGTGGAAAGGCAGAATACCAGCGCTGGCGGCAGCCAACACGGCGCTAAGAACGACCACCTGGATACAAGTTAATTATTGTATATTCATTGAAGTATAAAATATAAAATTATATAACATTAATATACATTATATATTTCCTTAAAATATATAGGAATGACTTACTTTGGAGAACATTTTGCAGTTACTAATCAGAGCAAGTGAGTGATACTATTATCGGTCCGGAGTGTGACTTTTATATGAAAAGCAAAACGGAGCTGCCGCCCCGTCGTGGTGGGGTGTGCGGTCACTTCAGTTCCGTAACTTTGACACCGCGAGGTCGCTCACGGCTCGCGTGCGCGAGGTAATAAGAATTCATTAATCTCCCTCTAGCCTATAGCGCCATCGCCCTGTAGCGGTCGGCTACCTGTAATAATTAGCATCTATTTAAATGTTGCTCAAACTACTGACATACGAGTATATCTAATAACTGCTTAATTTATCTGTAAGTCCAGAACCGTTGTACTAATGTGGTCACAAAACACAATTTTGACAATATCTAAGCACGAAGTTTTCCTAAAAGCTGTAATCGACTTTTTTCGATAAAGTACATCTTTACTAGAACCATCGAACAACGACTTTTAATACAAAGTAAAACCGACTCCAAGGAATACCATAAAGCACGGTCCCGAGCCACCTGAATCCATCGAATTATTGCATGTCTTAGCGGGTCATCACTTCATCGAGTGGGAGGTCGACCTACACTTCGCCTACTAATATAAGGTTCCTACTTGAGAACGTTTTTTCCCCATCGGTTGTCGGTTCTTAGAGCTATATGGCCGGCCCATTGCCACTTCAGCTTATTAATCCGTTGGGCTATATCGGTAACTCTGGCTTTTTTGCAGATATCCTCATTTCTAAGTTTATCACGCAGAGAAACACCGACCATAGCCCACTCCATAGCTCACTGAGCGACCTTGAGCGTCATCATACGGCCAGCAGTGCAGTACCACGACTCAGATCCATACGTCATCACTGGCGACAGCACTGGTTGTACAACCACGTTTTTTTATAAAATAAGGTTAACAAACGAGCAAACAGTCCATCTAATGGTAAGTGGATGCCGTGGCGCATAGACATCTCCATTTATCCTCGATTAAGAATCGAAACGCAAATGCTTTGTCACCCCTGAGGACTAAAATGGAATGCCTCGTTTACAGTAAAAAAGGTTCTCCGGATCTCTACACTCACTATACGAAACACATCAGTATTAAGCTGCTATTTTACGCTGGTATTCTGTGAGCGTGGTCTTTCCCCGGTCGAGCCAACTCATTCGTACTACAACCAAAATATAGCTGCAGCGTGGCTCTACCACGTCTCGTTTTCAGGTTTTGAGGTATACGTGATGAGAAGAGGTGTCCTAATTTCCCGAACACTGCCCAGCCAAGTTGAATCCGTCGATTGACCTCTCGGTCAAAGTTGGACTTACCTAGTTGGACTATTTGTCCCAGGTAAACATACTCGTCAACAACATCGAACTTAGTGCTTCCAATAACTACCGGCAAAAGTGTGACATAAAAAGTGACACATGATTTTTGTTTTGTCCATGTTCATCTTCTAACCTATCCGTTGAGAAACACTATTGTGTTGTTTGAGTACAGTGGTTAGGACCTCCGGCGATTCTGCTAAGGTGAGAGATGTACTCGCCATTGATGTTAATACCGTATATTTTCAGTCTGCTAGCTTGAAAACGTCTTCCAATGCAGGGATGAAGAATTTCGGGGATATAACGTCACCCTGTCTTACACCTCTCTGCAATTGGATAGGTTTCGTACTCTAGTTTTGTACTCGGATAACCATCGTAGCCGTACTATACAAACACTTCAGTACTTCGATATACCGACAATCAACTTTGCACTGTTGAAAGGAATGTAGTACTGCTCCAATTTCGATGGAATCAAAGGCTTTCACGTAGTCCACATACGCAATGCAAAGTGGCAAATTGTACACTTCGGTCTTCTGTACAATTTGCCGAAGGGTATGTTTGTAGTCTGTGGGACTAAAATCTTTTCGGGAACCGGCTTATTCGGGAGGCTGGAAGTCGTCAAGTCTGCGTGCGAGACGATTCGTAATGACTCTCGAAAACTGCACGTAGACGCGGCTCAGAAGGGAAATCGGTCTGGAGTTCTTCAAGAGAACGTTGTCGCTTTTCTTGAAAAAAAAAATGACCACTGAACTTCTGCTCCACGCCTACGGAGTAGTCCCACCAAGGAGGACGGTATTAAATAGCTTCTGAGTGACTTCAAGTACCGTATTTTCACTCGTTTACAGAAGCTCCGCTGCAATTCCATCCTCGCTTTGGGTCTTGCCGTTTTTAAGGTGCTGGAGAGCCATTCTACTCTCGCTCCGACTGAAGTCCGGCATATCATCGGAATAGTGTTGGAAAAGATTTGCTCTTGGATCGTTACTCACACTTGCATGTGCAATGATGTGTAGTGTGACCTGCCCTTAGAACCTCTCAATCTCATTCAAAATGTGCTAAGGAATATCACCATCTCAATGTCGTCTAAATAAATAAATTGAAAACATTATTTTGCCATCCTTATGGGTGCAATTTTGGAAGTAAAAATATATATCAGTCGCATTGTAAACATCCTCTCTTATTTGAAGTCGGTTAAAAGCAAATTATTAACTAATCACATTTAATTTCCAGGTAAGTAAATGCTTGACCTTCGGCCCTCAGCAAAATCTGTATACCGATTAATTACAATAATTTATTGACATGTGGTCGCCCCTAAATTGACAATTTCGTATAATAACATTAATACAATACAGACTTGCAAAACAGCAGTATCGACTGCCGTATGAATTAAACCACACGGTGGTCAACGGTCGGGATAGTATCTGTTAGGTATTTGATTTCTTACCATACTTTCGTAATGCGATCACAAGGAGTTTGTATTAGAAATTGAGTAATAAACCAATTACACATAAAATGTTGATTACATACAAATGCCTGATGTGTCATCAATGAGGCGTGTTTTTTTTGACTATAGAATTAAGTTCACAGTAGTAGAATAAGTGTAGTAAAATAAGTATTAACAAAAGAAATAGTGGTCATTGTAGTATAATGTTGGATGCTGTCCCACAGCCTCTTTCGTTTGAGTTACTTTGCATGATGTTAAGTAATTTGCATAATGACCGCGCTCCATCTAAAATAATAGTCCATTTATAAGGTGACAGCCAACAAAAACTTGATTTCAGTTTGAACTTTAGAATAGAAGTATTTGTAACAAAAACTATAAAGGAATATTCTTACTCACATATTTAGTTTTTCTATATCGTCATCATCTTTTCCTTCAGTTTGGAAACAAGCATATATAATTCCTCTGCCTAAGGTTTCTAATCCTTCTTCTTTGTCCCACTTTCGTCCCATATCTATTTTACCCTTTCTTTCTAAAGTTCTGGAACACATCATCCGTCACTCTCTCTCTTCTTATCGTCTAACTCCTTGCTCTCCGCTTATCAGTCGGGCTTTCGTCGTGGACACAGCACTGTCACTGCTTTACTTAAAGTAACCGATGATATCCGTTGGGCCATGGACAATAAATCTCTTACACTTTTAGTTTTGCTTGACTTTAGTAGTGCTTTTACATCAGTAGACTTTGATATTCTTCTCCGGATCCTGGAATCTATCAACATTTCCCCATCTGCCATCGCATGGTTTGATTCATATCTTCGTGGTCGATCACATTGTGTCCGTGTTAATGACACTCTCTCCGATTGGTCTGGTATCACTACGGGTGTACCTCAGGTTGGCGTTCTTTCCCCCCTTTTATTTTCCATATTTATTAACTCTATTACGAGTGTTATTACATCTAATTACCATCTCTACGCGGATGACTTACAGCTTTATCGGCATTTTCCGGTGGGTGATACAAATAATGCAATTGCAGCTATGAATGCGGATCTGAGCCGCATCTGTGAATGGTCTGCATCCTTCGGACTATTAGTTAATCCCACGAAATCTCAGGCCATCATAATAGGCAGTAGGCATTTGCGTAATAGATTAGAACTTACATCACTACCTTTTGTTTGTTTTAATGGCGTTCCTATACCCTTTGCCAATACTGTCAATATCTTAGGCGTCATATTTGATCACCATTTAACATGGACCACGCATATCGCTGAAGTTAGTCGCAAGGTCTACTTTACTTTGCATTCGCTTAAGTGTCTACAAAATTTCTTACCCCTTAAAGCTAAAATATCACTCGTGCTTACTATTATCCTAACTCTCCTTGATTATGCGGATGCCTGTTATTTGGATGCTACACAGGAGCTTCTTAATAAACTTGAGCGCTTGCAAAATCAGTGTATCCGTTTTATATTTGGGCTCAAGAAACTTGACCGTATATCTCAGTTTCGTAAGCAACTCAAGTGGCTCCCAATTCAACTTCGAAGGAATACTCGATTGTTATGTCTCATCTACAACATTTTGCACAACCCTTCCTCTCCCACATACCTCAAAAGCCGATTTTCCTTCACCCATCCTCCGGACAAACCATGCAGATCACTTGTTAAAAATCTTCTTGACTTTCCCGTCTATAATTCCGGTTTTTACTCCCACTCCTTTTCAGTTCACGCGGTAAGATTATGGAACTCACTACCGTCAAATATAAGAAATTCCGAAACTTTGTTGGTATTCAAGAAACGTCTTAAGAGATAACTACTTTGCATCCTGTTAATTTAATATTATTTTTTTTTTTTTTTTTATAATTTTTGTTTTAGTTTATATATATCATATGTAACTATCGTATTTATTATTATTATTATTTATTGATTTATTTTATTTTTATTTATTGTTTTATTTTATATAATTTACGTAACATTGTGTATATTATTTATTTTTTAGTAGTACGAATGTATGCACTAAGTTTGCAATTTCAATATAATTTCCTTTATGGGTCTATTGGAAGATATTTCAGCTAATTTGGAATAAGTAGAACCTTTGTACGTAATTACTATAAGACTGTTTCTGTATCTTAATGTGTGTACATAAAGAAAAGGAAATGTACTCGTACGTATATTACCTTTGATTAATTTCAATCAATATATAAATTAATTAACTTCGAATAAGGGGTCAACCGACGGATCCAACTCGGCTGGAGAGCGTTCTGGAGAACACATATTATCGTCAA